CCTCACTCCCTACCCATGAATCAGTTGTCTGATGACCCTGTGCTATGTCTCTTACATTTGTTTCTTTCATTGTCATGTTTATTTTAGAAGTGAAAGTCAGCCCAATGTTTACAGTTAACATCTTAAGCTTTCACTTGATCACTATGGAAATTATTCTTGTTCTAGAATGCCAGGGTGAGTGTGAGAGGCCCCTCCTTTCTGGGAATACAGAGCTATCTGGAGAAACACAGGGTGCTATATTTGGTGTGAGCAGGTGCCAGCCTTAGAACTTTAAATGAGGCACACGGGCTGGTCTTGAGTTATTTATTTCAGACCCAGTTAATATTTTGAAACCAATATTTTCCATTTGTAAAACTTCTAGTTCTGATGTCAAGTGTCCTGGAAAGTGATATTACAGACATATAATACTAGGTAGGAGTAATCAGACATGAGTGAAAAAGAAAATTCACAATTCAAGACAGTTAAAAATTCCAGTGCACATTCCTGTGTATGTAGTCTCAGTGCTAGTGTTTTATATTATAATTATAGATTATAGTTATTAACAAAGGAAATAATGGGTCACATATTGACATTTTCATGTATGTACAGTGCTGTACTCTGCTCACATTCACTGCTCCATTACCCACATTCATCTCAGAACTGTACCCACTTCTTTTCCATCCCCTATCAGCCCCTTTATATTTTCATGGGGAAAAATGTATACTTCATGCATATGCCTATATTCCTTTTTTCCTGGTCATATTAAAAATTTATCCTCTGACAAAGGCTTTACTGACAACTTTCCATCTAGTTAGTCAAAAAAATAAAAAAATACAGAATACAGCAGATGGTACCTCGTTCACTAGAATTCAACATAACCAGAATCCCTTAAAAAAAAAAAACCTCCCCACAAATCTAAGAACTGAGGTTTAGTGGTGGAAAGGATGCCCACGAAATGAACCATAACAACCCAGCAGAGAATTCCAACCAAGGGAATAAGGTAGGTAGAGAAGGGATCATATTATAAAATAAATAATTTTGAGACAGAGCTGGAAAAGAGAGACCCTGGCTCGGCAATGTTTTTAGAGTAACTACCACCACGTGTTCTTCCTCTACCTTGCCCAATGTCCTCAGGGCTGACTGGAGGTACTGCTGTGAAAAGTCACAAGGTGGAAAGGCATAGAGCATGCAGGTGCTGTCTCTGCCCTTGGATCCACCCACTGGCAGGATGATCAGTCCTGCAGCATGCTTCTGTTTCAAGTAGGCCAGGTTCCTGAGAAGTCGCCACTGTAGGCCTGGCTCCACCAGGCGTTGCCTGAGTGGCTAGGAGCACTGCATGGCCATCATGGCTCCACTGGTTGATACCACAGCTGGTCAGCTGGCTGGCAGAAGTGTAGTCTTTGAGAGGACCGCTGATTACTTCCTGGTCCCCCTCCAAGATGTGCGTAGATGCTGGGAAGCAGCTGTTTTTCAACACTAGAAGCTCTTTCCAACCCAGCTGCAGTGACTGCGCATACTAGAAAGAGTCTTTAACTTTTTGGTCTCGTGTTTTGGTGCTTCAAGAGTCGGGCCCTGATTCAGTGGTCCGATAATTGCGTTCATTCCCTCTTGTCTTCTTCCCTGGGAAATCTGGAGCCTTGTGGTTGTGATGGAGGCCCTTCTCCTCAGCACCATGCCTGCTGCTGCAGAGGGAGTTGCTGGGCCTGACTCCTTGGCCCCTTCAGTGGAGGGGTTCTAGTGGCTGTGCTCTGGAGTGTGGTTCCAGCCTCCTTCAGACTGCTGTCCCCCACCCTTGGTCTGGGAAGTTTTTGAGAAAAATGGGGTGGGGGAGCAGGAAAAGCAGGGCTTTTAAACCTGGCTCCGATCAGTCTGCCAGCCAGGATCTGGGTCAGGGAGTGTTTATTTGTTGTCCTCCTAAGATAAGGGAAAAGCTGCTCTACTAAAACGGCTCTTAAAATCTCTGGTTAACAGGCAGAATCTGCTAATCTTGTCTTCGGAGAGCAGAGGAAAGGCAGGCTACCTCTTAGAAGAGTCTGCTTCCCTTGACTTCAAAGACCGAGGTACTTATCAGCTCAGTTCCCTTTTTTCAGGCTTGAGAAATCCAAATTCCGTGGGACCCTGTTGGAGAGGAGGGAGGCTGCTTAGGTTTGAAACCTTAATAGAAAGGCTCCTCTGCTTGCGCCTCTCTTCCCACGCCTTGGGCATGCCCTGGTCTCCCTCTCCCGTTTAGCGCTCACCACTTCAGTTGTGCACTGAGGGCTCTAGCCCTCTAGGCTGTTTCTGAGGTCCGAACTCTTACTGAGGCCGGCCCAGTCCCCTTGGCAAAGGTCCTGTCTGAGCCAGAGTACAGAAGGTGTGCGTGGGGGTGCTACGCCGCACCGTAGGTTTCGATGGCCGGAATATCCATCCATCCATCCATCCGTGAGCAGCTCGTAATGCACCGGGAGAACTGAGGGCTGGTACTGCTGGGGACAGGAGTGTTCTCTCCCTTGGCAAAATTCGCGGTCTGGACCCGCGGGGGAAAGCCCTCACATTCCCACAGGAGGCTTGGGCTGCACGGGCAGCTAAACCGGTTCCACTGAGTTCGGGGAGACAGGAAGTTCCCTTAGCCCCGCAGCCGCTCCAGTGCGAAGGACGCAGGCTGATCTCGGCCAGCGCGGGAACCGTGGAAGGGCCGGTCCTCGTGCTCGGCGGACCGCGGAGCTCGGGCCGCTGCTGACTAGGGTCTCGTCCTACCGAGCTGCCGCGGAGGCAGGACACGCAGGTTCGGTCCCGGGTCCATGAATTCATGACTTCCAATCACAAAAATGTTTCTAGGTGGTGGGTAAAACCTAAAGCATGCCAATTGACTCTTCTGACCTAGAATAGACTTGGATCCTCATATGCCAGTGTAATGAGGGTTGCAGTTTACGTAAAATTGAAAGTGATTATTTGACGACATTGTATTACTTCATTTATCATTTTAATCCTCCAACATCAGAAGTCTGATGGTATGTGCTACTGGGTTTTGACATCTGTATCCATTTGTCTCCTGGGAGTCAATTCCCTTGGTTCAGATTCTTTGCTCCAAATTCTATACTCTCAGCATATAAAAAGTGAAAAGATTCCTATATACACAAAAGTGTCTGTCAGATCATAACAAGTAGGAAACAATATGTAGAGTTATAACTTTTCCTATATTTTATCACTGAAGCACAGGCCTGTGTTAGAAATCCTATACTTCTGAAGAATCCAGGAAGTGTCAAGTGCCTCTTTCTCATACATAGCTCTTGCTGTGTGTAAGCCTGTTCTGGTCTCCTGTCTGGAGCAAAGCAAAGAGCCCTGCAATGTGAAGAGAGGGGAGACTGTAGCCAACTAGGCAGGCTTGAGTGGATGAATGTGGGGCCCAGGGGAGTGGTCTCAAGTAAAGAAGGATAAGGATAAAGGAAAAATGTTTGTGCTGTGTCTGTTTCAGTAGAAATTATTGCAATTTCCTCAATATATGTCCTGTAGTAAAGGTCAAATGATTTTGTGTTTTGCTCAAACAACTATATCATCATTTATTTATTTCATATGTTCTATGTCTGATTTCTTTCAAATGCTAGAAATTTAATAGCTCAAATTTAACATATTGTGAAATTAGTAAATACTGATTTTTTTCATTTTGTGTCAGCTTTGAAAATTTTTCTTCCCTTCCGATTGTTTTTGATTTTTTTATTGCTACAGGATTATGTATGCATTTTTCCCAATATGAGAGTAAGGTTGTGTGGAGCATCACATAGAGTATGTATATAGCATGAAATTCTGTATTGTCTTCCCATCTTTTTTTAGCATTTTTATTGAATTTTTGTGATCTCTATGCAATGTATTTTGATGACTTTTATATCCCCTCTCACATCCACACCTCCCTCCACCTTCCCCCAATTAATTCAATGCACTCTCTGAATAATAAAGCCTATAGAGTATAACTTAAATCCCCAAATGTTCTCCAGCATGGGTTCATCCACTCGAGCTTGCATAGGACTTGTGTATGCTGTCATCATTGCTGTGACTTCATATCGGTAACTGGAAAACTCTGCCCACCCAATGGACATCCACCACCTCTGGCTGTTACAATCTTTCCACTTCCTTCTCTGCAATGATTCCCAGGCCCTGAGCTCTAGAAGCCTGACAGAGGTGTCCCACCTAGAGATAAGTGCTCTGCAGCTGCTCCCTTCCCGCACACGAGAAAGCTGTAAGTTTTTGTGTCAGTCACCATCTGCTGCATATGGAAACTTCTCCAGTAAGAGTTGAAAGATGCATTAATCTTCAGTGGGTGAGCACCTGATCCAGCACAGTCCATTCTGATCATCCCTCTTTGGAGTGGAAGCCTGTATTATTATGAGGGTACCACAGTTATAGTCACAGAAGGGGACCCCAACTCCAGATCACGGGGCTGCGGGGGAGGGGCAAACTATTGCTCTCTCACAGGAGGGGACCAGGACTCCAGCCCAGAGGAGAGGGTCACAGCTCCAACTGACAGGAGGGGGTCCACAGTTCTGGTTCACAGGAGGGGACCACAGCTCCAGCTCACAGGCAGGGAACCACAGCTCCTGCTCATAGGAGAGGACCACAACTCCAGCTCACAGGAGGGGAACCACAGTTCCAGGTCATAGGAAGAACCATGGCTCCAGCTGTCAAGAGAGGACACATTATCTCACAGGAGAGGACCACAGCTCGAGCTCATGGGAATGGACGATGACTCCAGCTCACAGGAGGGGAACACAGTTCTAGATCTCTTAAGTTTTCAGGCACTCAAACACTGTTGCCTTTTGTATGTATATAAGTGCACTCATATCCTGCAATGCCCGTGGTAGTCAGAAAAGGATGTTGGATCTCCTGGAACAAAACTAAAATTTTGCTCCTCTACTTAAAATCTTTCAGGTATAATCCTCTGGATAGAGGGGATGGGCCCAGAGTGGCTGGATGCTTGGGTTCCACTCCTGCCCTCTGCACAAATCCCTTCTCATTTCTCGGCTGCTGTGTGGTGTTGCGTGGCTGCCATGGCCACGCTGGAGAAGCCCACGAAGGCTCCTGAGTCACTCAAGTCATTCCAGCATGAGCAGCAGCAGCAACCCCTGCCACCACCATTATCATCCAGATGGCTGTCAACTTATGAGATCTTTGAGGAACCATGTTATAAATGCACAGGGGCAAAGTCCTCTTCAAGACTCTCCTGGGACAACCCTCCATCTTTGGTAGTGTAGGCTTCCTCAGTCATCTGCAGCTTCAACTTGGCCATGATCAGATTGGATTCTTGTAGGAATACTACCTTAAGGTTCCCTGGTTCCATGGCAGCAGTTAAGAGCTTACATACTTTGGTCAGCTGGGCCTGTGGTGGAATGACTTCCTGGCACAGGGGATTCTACTTCAAGTGCCGCTCTAGCTTTGACTCCCTGAAGTGAAGTTCAGTCATGTCATCGTTGGCGATTAGGTTGGTCGATAGATACTTGAAGAGCTTGGGTTCCACTCCCACTGGCACTCTGAGTGGCAGTTCTCAGTCTCCATCCTCATCTCCAGCTGTGAGCCTACCTTCCTGCTTGCCATGTAAAGAATTAAAGTTAAGATGCTTATATGAGAGACAGCATGAAGCATTTGTCCTTTATGGCTTGGGTTACTTCACTAGAATAACTTTTTGAAATCCTATCCATTCTCTGCTATTTCATAATGTCTAGTTTTCTTAGACTGAGTAATATTCAACTGCACATATTTAGCACATCTACATTATTCATCAAGTGTTGGGGGTTTAGGTTATCTTCATAATCTAGCTACTGTGAATAGAGTAGCAGTGACTATGAATGTGCAGACATCCTTGTGTCTGAGACAGAATTCTTTGGGAATATGCCCAGGAGTCATGTTTCTGGCCAGTATGGTAGTTTTCTGACTAGCTTTTATGTGACGCCTTCAGACTGATTTACAAGTGGCTTCATTAGTTTACACTCACACTGACGGTCCTCTTTCCTCACACTAGGGTCCTCTTTCCTCAGGTCTGCACCAGCATTTGTTATCAGTGTTCTGATTCAGTTGAGATGGAACCTAAAGGTCATTTATCTGCATTTCCTTACCTAGTAAGGTTCCTGAACAGTTTTTAAAGTGTTTGCTAACCATTTGTATTTCTTCTCTTCTATTGATGTTTAGACCTAAAAGTATCTGTGGACACAGGGAGTGCTTATTTCAAAGATAGCAGAATACTCAAACATCAACACCTCCAGGGCATGAGCCCTGAGTGCCCCCCCTTTTTTCTTTTATTGGCCTTGCAACACAATTACAGGATGAGAAACAGAAGCACTGTACTAATTACTTGCAGTACACAAATGCTTTTCCCACCTACTTTTCCCTAGGTACTATCTAGATACAAAGTTCTGCAATGGCTACTGACTATCTTCAAGGGCATTTGGGATTTTGGAATAACAAAATCAATATGAAGGTTGTGGTATTCTTGAGTGTGCTGGCTAATACCTCCCCACAGTTCCTTGTGTGCAATGAACTTTGTGGCATTCCTCCAACTTGTTTCATTTCTTTAGTAAAGCTAAAATTTACAGGAGTATGAGAACATTGAAATGCCCCTTACAGATATTCATCATTTGGAAGAACTTTATTTACAGTTACAGGAAAATTGGAAATATTACATAGAACATTGTTTACAGGTTTTTTGAAATTCCATGTGTTAAAAATAGATTTATATTTAATCAGATCTTTTTTGTTTACACTTGCATATTTAGGATTATATGGAGGAGAGTAATATTCTTTCCCTTTCTGTATTCCCAATTTCTTTATTTCCTTTAAGAGTTCCTTATATTGAGGTTTAGAGATTTTTGTCTCATCTTCAGAACATAAGTTCTCTGCCTCATTAGACTTCTTAATGGTCTCAACCTGAGGACCAGCCTCAAGCTCCTCATATAAAGTCTTAAGATCTCTTTCTCATTCTGTTGATGACTCTTCAATAACCTCTAAAGGCATTTGAGGTAAGGTCAGCATCAGTGGTAAGTCATCAGCAGAGAGTGACCCCTGACCAATTTGTCCTTCCTTAACATCTCCCCTTTGTTTTTTTTTTTAAGTACACTATCAGAGATTCCATTATCTGAGCAGCTCTCTGATTCTGTTTGAAGAGTGTGTAAAGCATTAGAAATAAAAATCCAAACAGACTACAGTAGAATAGGAGTTATCTACCCTCGCTGATGGGTTCTCTTTAAAGATTTCATAATCTGCATCCATACTCTATAATTTAAAACAGTCTGCCAATACAACCAATGACAATGTTTTTTTTATTAACCTGTTTAACTCTTTAGAAGTTTCGTCTTTTACTTTTACTCCCTCTCCTTTCAAGAGGGCATTAACAACTGGATTTATTGCTCATCCACTGACTGGGAATTCCACATTTGCTTTGACAACTATTACCAAAAGATTCGCTTACCTTACATACCACTTCTCTTTTTGTTCCACCACCTTAAGTTGAAACCCTTTGAACACATTCCTTGAGTCCTACATGGGGCGCCAGCTGTAGAGACTCATGTCTGCTGATGAACAGTTGGAGGAGAGAAGGCAATGAACACAACTCTCAGGTGCAGAAGAGTGAGTTTAATTCTAAGAGTGGCTTCTTCTAACTAATGAGCAGGGTCAGCCAAGAATACAGCATGTAAAACAAATCAAACAAAGTTCAAATTAACATGTTGTTTTTCTTTTCTCTTACTAACCAAACCCTTTAAGGAGATGGCATCCATGGTCTATTAAAACTGAGAATACTTTGTTCTAGGCTCTTTTGGCTTTCATCTTTGCATTGAAAAGACAGCTGCATTTTTGATGGGGTTTCCTTTATATGTAACATTTTTCTGTAGCAGCTTTCAGTGCCCTATCTTTGTTCTGTACATTTAATGTTTTTTCCAAGGATTTGTCATGGAGAGATTCCATTCTGGTCATGTCTAATTGGCATTCTTTGTACTTCTTGAATCTCTATTGGTAAGTCTTTTCTTAATTTAGGGAAATTTTCTTCTAAAATCCTGGTCAATTCCATTGGCCTTAGATTCTTCTCATAGATTCGTAGATTTGGTCTTTTCACCCATTGCCCGATATTTTCTGAGTATTCCATTTCTGTTTTCTTTTTTTTAAATTTTACATATACTCTTTGCTTAAGAAGTCAAGCTCTTTAACTTTATCATCCAGTCTTGATATTCCATTTTTCATTTCATTCATTCTATTTTTGAGACTTTCTACTATTGTTTCTAATTGCTTTATTGCATTTTTCAATCAATGTTCATTTCCATTTGGGATTTCTTCACTATTTCTATCTTTTTTTGTGAATTCGCTTTTCAAGTCATGAATTGTTTTTGATATTTTATTAGGCACATTCCTATCATTTCTTTGAGTTATTTCTCTGTGTTTTCATTAACTTCTTTCATCATCTTCATGAGTATTCTTTTAAATTCTGTGTCTTGGGGTTCCTCAGGGTGGTTCTGATTGAACTACACTTCTGTAGGACTAGCAGGTTCTGTTTGGCATGTATTCTTATGGAGTTCCATATTACTTGTGTATGGATTACTTGTGTACAGGCATATGGATGTTCTTTGTTGGTTACGTGCCCAGTAGGAACTTACTCGTTTTTTTTCTATAATTTAATTTTGGTTCTGTTTATATCATTTATGTAACTTGTATTTTTGTTGTTGTTGTTGTTGTTTTTGTTCATGTATGGAAAATAAATGGGTGTGTGGTTCAGGTTCTCTCGGGGTAGTGTATTGGTCTGGGTGGATGGCGTGATGGTGTAGTAGATAGCCGGACAGGTTAGTAGGAAGGCTTGTCTGTGTCAGACAGATCAGGAACCAATAAAGTCTATTCTAGGGAGTTTAGCTAGTCTGTGTTAGGAAGCAACTACAGGAATCTCAGGCAGAGGTATTTGATCCGGCCTGGGTCCAAGGCTGGTAAGGGACAGGGTGAGGGTGGGCAAGAAGAATGAAATAGAGACAGAGTGGGTGGGATCTGACTTACCAGAGTCCTGGCTGGGTAGATTTGTCTGGATGACTGGGAACTATGGAAGAGAATGTGGGGAGGACCATGTGACTACAAAATTAACAATCTATTGTTGGGTGTTTAGCTAGTGTGGGTATAGAAGCTGGTTTAGGGATCTCAGGGAGAGGAATTGGAGCTTGTCTAGATCCAAGGCTGGCAGGCGAACACCTTTCCTTTTTAAACAATATTGTTTTACTTAATTTTATTTATATGGGTGTATTGTCTGCATGTATATAAGTGCACCCATGCCATGTATTGCCTGTGAATGTCAGAAGATGCCAGTGGATCATCTGGAACAGGAATTACAAAGAGTTGTTAGCTGTCATGTGGGTTCTTGGATTTGAACCCTCATCCTCTATAAGAGCAGACAGTTCTCTTAATTTCTTAGCCACTGCTCTAGTCCTTACTCCTATCTTATCAGAATTAGTATTGGCCTTTTTTATTTTCTTCATTGCACATGTTGGATTCATTCTGGGAATTGGTGTGTTCATCTGTTTGCATACAAAAATTCTGATGTGATGGCTTTTGTGCCATGAATTTGAGCATTTCTTGTAATGCTATTTCTCTTCCATGAATTTTTGGAGAGAACATTTCTGTGAATCAATTTAAGTTTATACTTTCACTTTCAGTGCTTCAACTGTATTTTTCTTATTATTCATACCATCCTGTCTCTGGTGCTGGATGAAAAGAGAACTAATATTAATAAAAATTTTCTACATTTTAAGGAGCTGGTACTTGGAAATTTTCTTCATGCTTAGTACATCTTCTTTATATAACCTGGAATGCATGATTGTCTCAGACTTGTTCTCTATATTGAAATATGCTCTTATTTTTTTGGCTTGCCTGGTGAACTTAAGTCTGAGAACTCATCAGAGAATCTATAATGGAGAGAAACCCTACAAACGTGAAGACTGTGACAAATTCTTTACAAAAATGTCAAATATTAAAAGACATCAAGCAATAGAAACTGGAGAGAAACCATACAAATGTGAAGATTGTGACATCATTTCATTCAGTGGTGCATCTTAAAGTACATGAAACATCCCATAAAGAGGAGACACCCTTTAAATGTTAAGAGTGTGACAAGTCTATTACCAATATCACAGATTTTAGAGTCCATCAGAGAATTCATAACAGAGTGAAACACTACAAATGTGAAGAATGTGATAAGTCCTTTACCAACAAAAGCTTAGAGTACATCAGACAATTTGTACTGGAGAAAAACTCTTTAAAAGCGAAGACTGTGGCACATCTTTGCCAACAGCTCGTCTCTTAGAAAGGTCATGAGAAATTTCATACTGGAGAGAAACCCTACAAATGTGAAGAATGTGACAAATCCTTTAGTCAAATGGCACATCTTTGACAATGTCAGATAATTCATACTGGAAAGAAACTGTACAAATATGAAGAATGTTACAAGTCCTTTACCAACACCTCATACGTTAGAGTGCATGAGAAAATTCATACTGGAGAGAAAGCCTACAAATGTGAAGACTGTGACAAATTCTTTACCAACACCTCATATGTTAGAGTGCATGAGATAAGTCACACTGGAGAGATACCCTACAAGTGTATAAAGACTGTGACAAGTCCTTTACTAACACCTCATTTCTTAGAGTATGTGAGAGACTTCATACTGGAGAGAAACTCTAGAAATGTGAAGAATATAACAAGTTCTTTACCAACATGTCAAATCTTAAAATACTTCAGAGAATTCATACTGGAGAAACCATACAAATGTGAAGAATGTGACAAGGCCTTTAGTCAAATGGTGAATCTTAAGGCCATCAGAGAATTCATACTGGAGAGAACCCCTACAAATATGAAGAATGTGACAAGTTCTTTACCAATGCCTTAAACCTTGGAGTGCATGACATAATTCGAAATGGAGAGACTAATACAAATGTGAAAATTGTGAAAAGTCCTTTATTTATATATCAACTTTCAGAAAACATTGCAAAATTCATAATGAAGGGAGATACCACAAATATAAGTAATGTGGCAATTTGATTAACCATACTTCAAGTCAGAAAAATTAGCAAGAATACATACCAGAGAGACAGTTTATAAATATACAGTTTTGGCACATCCTGGTTTCAAATCCTAGGGAACAATATAGAATCCATACTAGAGGGAAATTTTCGAATTCATGAATTATGTTGAAAACATTAATAAATGCTTAAATTTAAAAAAACTGCATAGTTTACTGAAGAAAAATTTAGAGGGAAATATGAAATTCCATAATTTGCAACAAAATTTCAATTTTAGTTCACTATGAGAGAATTCTTAGGCCTGAGAAACTAGAAAGATAAAGGTTTCAGTCATTGTGACAAAGGCTTTGCTCATTCATCCAAGTATCTTGTCAATTATCACAGAATCCCTAATTTAGATAAATCCTACCTCTAAAAGGAATTTTAGGCATCATTTCCATTTGGCTCACATGTTAGGATACATCAGAAATTTCATAGTGAGTATGAATCTCACAGAATTCTATGATAAATATCTGATTACTTATTCAGTGTCAAAGAAATTAAAGTGTGGATAAACCACACAAATATCTAGGATTACTCACTAGTTCAGCAAGAGGAATCACATGTGAATGTGTGGAAATGTTCATGCATATATACAACTTGGAAAATCCTAAACTGTATGAATTAGAAGTATCTGGATTGTAATAATACAGGAGGAACAAAAATTTTAAAACCTAAAATCATTTTAGTAATATACAAGTTATAGTATGAAATGACAGATCACTGTTTAATTTAGGCAGTATGCCAAGGTAGAGTATTAGAGAAAAGAGCTTTTAGGAATTTACCTAAATTACTTATTTCAGTGGCATAGCATATGATATTTTGGTGGAATAACTCTACTACTTAGAAATATTCATATTTCCATTATTAGAGTTTTTCAGGCCAAATTTTATAGATCAGTTTGATTCTCTTCTAAATTCATGTCATCTGATTTATGAAGAACTTTCATGACAGTTTATAGCAATTGTTTACTCTGATTTGAATGCATATGTTGTCCATTAGTAGCAATGCTTCATTAACGCTAAATTTTCATGAATAATTCTTGGTCACAGAGTATTTTCTCAGTGTAGGTGTGATTATATTTTTTTTGAGGAGTAAGAATGCATTTTAATATGCATGTTTACATGGCATATTTTTAGTACAGTATAAAAAGAGGAGAATCTTGAATATAAGATAGGATTCATTTCCAATGTCTCAGTGAGGAGGATAATCTATCAATACATTAATTTAGTGCTGAATAACACAAGAGAATGAATGCTTAGTTGTTTTCAGTATTGATGTGGTAAAGAACACACAACCAAGAAAAGCTGAAAATAATCTTAGAAGATGTGTGATGTTAACACTGTTCTATTCTATTGATATTTTATCCTACATGTTTAGGTCCCAAGGGCTCTTCCACGTCTACTCTTGAGTGTTTTCTCATCGGATCCTTTGGTCTTTTTAGTAATTCTGAAGGCCCTTCTCTCTTTCCATATTGTGCATTAAAGATTTGTTGTTGTTTTTCATATTCTGGAACTAGCGTGATTCTCTAATACCTCTTTTACTGTAATTTTTTTAGTGTTCCCAAGAACACTTGTATTGTTTTCTGAACTTGAAACTGAGTGCATGTTAATGGGTCACAGAGGTAACAGAGTGAGAGCATCTGGGTTATAGGCTTTGACCACTACAAAATCACTACCATTGCAGATTCCCATCATTCACCTGTCTTGCCAGAAGTCACATTTGGAAATTCAGAATTGTCTTTCAATCTCCACAAGAAAAATGTCCCCATGGGTCCATTGCTCATCTCAGTTGTCCCACCTCTAGTAATCACCCACATCGTCTTTTCCACCCTATACACTGAATGTTATTTGAATCTACACGCTGTCTTTTCATGATACCTGAGTCTTGGCTTTCATTTCTTGCTGCCCTAAAGGAACCATTCATTATTTACTGCAAACAGTGACAGAGACTGATCCCCATGTCATAAATGAATCATTAAAATCTGCATCTAGGGCAGATACAGGATGCAAAGCATACTGTCTTGGGCTGCCTAATAGCCCTCAGTGTGCCCATGAGCTCAGCACACACTACGTTAGAGCTCTCTATGAGGACATTGCCCCCTTCTCCATAACACTCTCGAGGCAGAGAGTACAGCTCCAGTACCAGTTGGCTTGGATTGGCGGTGTGTTGTAACAGGTTCTTCAGTTCATGCACAGAGATAGAAGTCCCATAGAAAGTGACCATGTTGAGCTTGGAGCAATGGCTCAGGAGAAGCAGGAGGCCTGTGTCCCCAGAGGACCTGATTCCTGGGGGGAGGGGGCCTGCTGTGGAGAATTGAGTGTGGAGAGTTGGCCGCGGAGGGAGGGGTTTTTGAAGCCATCTTGGACGGAAGTGGCTCAGCTGGGCATTAGAGAAAAAGGACGGACCTGGTGTCCTGCACACAGGGATGTGAGAGGGGGCATTTCCCAACCTGGGGCGAGACTGCAGGCCCCCGAGGCATAGGTGAAATATAATGGAGACTATGATGGGGTGTGGAAGTGATCTGGGCTGGCGGGCCTCTTAGCCACAGAGCTGAACGGGTTGCTGAGTGTCCACCTTTTGTAAAGAAAGCACTGGTGTTCGCCTTTGTAAATTACTGCATTTCCCCTGTACCCAAGATATAGAATGAAAAATTCAGATAAAAATATATTATATGGTTTGTCTAATACAACCCAGAGCAAGAGACCCCGAAGAGAGTGATCGCAGGTCAAACAGAGAGCACCAAGGAGAAAATTTAGTGGGACAAGCCCAGTAAGGTCAGGTGGCCTTAAAACACAGCCTTCCAATTCTAGGGTCTGCAGACTGGTTGTCAGTCTTTCTAGTAGAACTCGAAAGGGTGACTAAACCCATAAAGAAAGTCAGACACCATTAAGATTTCAGTGTTTGAGTTGACAGATGCTGGCTCAGTCAGATAATGCCAGTCTGACTCTGAAAGACTGCATGGAGGATGTGAGAGTGTCTCCAAAGGCTTTTTCAAGTACCTGAGAACCTGGTACAGGTGGTCCTCAAGAAAATACAAATTACACATATAGAGGTGCTGGAGTTTGGGGAACAGAGAAATGAATATGTTGAGCCACATGTCCTCCAGACAGCTATATTCATACTCAAACTCCTCTTTCCCATCCGTGGCCTTTCAAACTCCTTTGAAAAAGAGTTGGTGAAGATTTTTCATCTGGCCAAGGATGGGGAAAATCTGGCCAGTGTTCTTAGGCTCCACAGTACAATCACTTCCACTTCTGTGTGCAGTCTGACTCAAATAATTTCAGGAGACTCAAGAAATCATAGTCAACTTCATAAGAAAACTGTAGCTTCTGACAGCACGGATGCAGCCAAGATTTTTCTCTGCTGGATCCACTGGATGAAGCATCCTTGCCCCTCATCCATATTCCTCTTGTTCTGGAGGTAATAGACTAACAACACCTTCAAAGATGGCTTCGACCCATAATATACATGAGCCTCCAGTATTTGTGTCTTATGAAGGAACCTTGGAGACCAGTCCTCGTCCACTATTGCAGTCCACATATTCTACAAATCCAACACTCCACTTTACATCTCCTTGGTCGAACCTTCTGAGTTATCAGGAATTCCATTCCATCCAACACAATGTGGAAGGTCTCCATGTTGGGAGGGGTCTTCATCAGGTGTCCCAAGTGGAGGCAGGAGAAGGACCAGGCTGCCGCCATCAGCCTCAATCTCACTGTGACTGTTAGTGAAGTCCTCCTGGAGCAGTAGAGGAGAGAACATCTTGGGCAAGTACTCCACATCAGAGATGTTTAGGACCTCAGTCCACAGCACGCTCTCAACTGCCAGGTCCCAGACTGAGGATGGGGCCTTGAGCACTTATCCCAATGAATCTTCAGGGAGACTGAACCTGGAGAATCAACAGAAATGGTCTTGAAGACAGGTCCATTACCCTGGGTCTGGCAGTGTCTCCTGTCTCCAGGAATCTGACTCACAAGAATAATCTTATACAACTAGTAAGAGAGTGGAATGAATTCATGTGGTATCTTTTTTCCTAGTGGAATTAAACTTCAAGTATCATGCAGAATATTATTCTCAAATGTTATGCTCTGTATTAGAGATATTAAGTTGCATATAACCAAATTGTATGATGAAATAATTTACACTACAAATTATGGGTATTGAATTAATATTAATAATAATTATTAAATCGAATTCTTTGCATGAACTCTTTCTGGGTCACTTCCCCTACATTCTCAATTATTTATTTTGATTGAAGGAAATTGCCAAGTATATTAGACTCCAGATCTTGTTTATCAGTAAAAAACATTAATGAAATAATGCATATGTGAATGTATATTTTATTTAAATATAAGGAAATATTGAACAAAATTAATTACTTTCACAATAGGTGATGTATTAATGTGCTTTTCCATTTAGAGTCTGAAGATACATGCTATTCCAACTATTTTATTTTATTTCAATGTTTTTGATTTGTAGTCTATGTTGATTTGATTCCATTAAAATTGGCTTGTGGTGAGGTAGAATTTGTGTCTTTGAAAGAATGTGATACATAAGCCTACTTTCAATTCATTAGGTAGGGAG